TTTAATTAAAAAAAAGAAAGTAAGAGGAATGTGTTAACTTACTTGAATTAGATCTAAAATGCCAAGTTCACTTTCTGAAGAATCCACACAGAAGACAAAATATAATGTTGCATAATGTCTATATATTAGTTTGTTGTCAGATCCTCCTATTAACCTAAATGACAAAACAAAAAAACCTGAAATGTTATAGGGAACAAAATGCAAAAACATTTCCATTAGCTCAAGCAAATTGATAGCTTTTTAAAAAATGTTTTGTAAACTGTAAGTTAACATTTAATGGCATAAGCATTCAAGTGAATGTACTTTAGAAACTAAATAAATAAAGAAGCCTGTGTTAATCAGAATAGTCAAGTAAAAGAAGCTGGTGCTTAGTTCATTTGCTTATTAAGCTATTTATTGAATATTTACTATGTGCTAGGCACTGATAGTGGGTAAGAAATAATAAATAAGAAAATTATCAAGTAGTATAGAATGCTCCATTAAGAAATAAAATAGGGCAGATTTGCTACTTCAGAAGAAGTACGAAGAAGTTAATAATATTTAGGCTCATATCTAATGTAAGAAGTCAGGCATGATAATATTCAGAGGACATTTCAGATCAAGGTAGTAATCAATTACAAGGCCATTACATCAAAAATAAATATGTATGTTTAAGGAACAGAAGGAAGCCAGTGTAAATGGAAAGAACAGTAAACAGTGAGTTCAAAGAAACAAGCAGAAATCAGATCATGGGGCATTTGTAAGTGCCCACTAGATTTTACTCTGTAAGTTATAGTAAGTTACATGACATATGACTGATTATCAACTAGGGGTAAAAAAGACTGATGACATTTCTTTAGTTTTAGATATGTTTATCATGAAGAGTTCTTGAAAAGATATTTTACTTTACAATACAAATGCACAGAAACGGAATTAAGACATATTATAACTTAGGGAAAATTCCAAACATTTTCTAATAGTCTAAATACATTCCAGTAATTTCATAGTTAAGCCTATAATAATTCATATTCTCAAATGACCCTTTAAACACGAACATAGTTTAAAAATCAAATATAAGTGTAATAAAATGGACTGAATATTCAAATAGGACCCCCAAAAATAGAATCCATTTTCTACTCAGAAAAATAAAACTAAACTTAAAAACTGTTGAAATCAAACAACTGCTCTAAAAATAACTATGTTTAAGTACTCACGTAGCAAAAATAGAAATTAATTTTGACAATAATTTATAACAAGATAACTGTTTTCTATAAAAGATTTCACTAAAAGTATGTGCATGCGCTTTGAATATTCCTGGAACTGTACTTATAGGCCATGATTTTTCATGTCCTGAGCCAGAAAGCGCATACACAGTAGGCTTTGGTTCATCCCAAATCTAACAAGCTGTCTCCGTTTCCTCTCAAAGAAGAGGGCAAAATGTTGGAAGCTGTACGTTTCAAGATAGCAAAGATCTCAATATGGCAAGTACATATTTGGCCTTTAAAAAGACCTTTATAAAAGGTTTTTTTTGGGTGATCTGAATGAACACTTACAGAGTAAACTGGTTTCCATTCAATAATTCATACACATTATACTTCATGACATGGTCTGCAGCACCCACAAGGTAAAAGCACTCTCCACTTCTTTTTTGTGTTTAACCATTTTCATTTGTCCTTCCCAACCAATTCCTGCTTTCTAAGGTTTATCCCAGGGGAAATGCAATCTTTAACTTATTGTAAATATGGATAATAAACACTGACATTATTTCTTGTACGGTATGTAATATACACAACACAAAATTTTAGAAATACTCTTAGCCCAACATTCTCACTGTACAGAGGAGAAGATGGAAACCCAAGAATCTGTGATCTGACCAAGGAAATCAGCTTGGTGATTAAATCATAACTGGACTAGATTCTGACACAACATTTAATAAGACTGGAAATAAATACCACAAATTCCAGTCATAAATTCAAATAGTGCCCTATTTAGATCAATTAAGTCTTGCATTCTATTATACACAGTATACTATGCTGAATGTTAAGTTTCCTATAAGATACTGCTAACAGATAAATTTAAGATGACCAAACTCCTATAGAAGCATGAGAGAGAAGTACAATTACAATATAAAACTGAAAGTTCATGCACTTATCTCAACTACTAAATTGGAAGTCTTGAACTAAGAGCAGAATTTACAAATTATAAGTGTTATTTTATATCGGGGCTGCAAAAGCAGATACCTACACTTTATCTTATATTACATTAGCTACACTGTGAAAGATTTTAATTGATGAGGGTTGAGAATGATGAGGGTTAACGAATGTACAAA